TCGTGTGCTCATTTGCCACCATTTTTCAATAAAAAAAGTAAAAGGAAAATGTACCGCTTAAAGTTACATAATATTCATTTTTACACACTGTTGTCAACTTCATGAAATATTAATACTTTCGATCCTATCTCAGAAATATATGTATGTTATACTAGAACTAGTCTGGCTTTCCGCCAAAATCAGCAATTTCCACTGGAATCCTGTCTCTGTTATTCAAATGTGACAGAAAACAGTTATAAAGTCTGCTAGCAATGCATCTCGAAGTTTCCAAATGCGATATAAAGTTAACGTATTGCTTTTTTTTAAGTTAAGCCAACACTAGAATTTTCTCATGCATCGTGGAGGCAGTTTACATACATAAATTGCACAAGGACAAACATCCCGATCCCAAACAATTATCTATAGCCCTTACAAATACATATAACAGTGGTAGAGCCAAGCGGCAGCTTTTGCTGTCGCACGGATGGGCCGGCTCGAACCGGGGAGGTACCACGACCTCACAGAATACCAGCGTGAAGTAGAGGTTTACCTCTGCGTTTCGCTTGGTGAGTGCAGGTGGCCGGAGGCCCTTTTTACTGAAAATGAGGCATTCCATCTTAGTCCTCACGGGTGACAACGCATCTGCATTTTGATTCGCAAACGAGGATAGATGTAGATGTCTATGGGCCGCAGCAACCACTTACCATCAGGTGGACTGTGTGCTCGTTTGTCACCCTTATCCTATAAAAAAAAAATCATTATCGAAAATTTAAGAATTTATCTTAGTGATTATATTAAGGGAGCAATGAAAGTTATCATTCGAAATACTTAGTGTTGTTTCGACTCAATTGGTCGAATTTTGACCACATACCATATTATATTAGATAGAATATTTTTTTTCTTTGTAGGCCTTTTTTAGATCACTGTTGGCTATAATCCTTTTTTTCTGATTTTCTCATAATAACTCATAATACTACTTTAATGTATACATTTAAACGTATATAGATATAATGTGTACAATGAATGCAAATTACAGTACTATATAAATAATATGAACTATACAATATAAATATTTTCAACACGAATTTGATATTATGAGATCACGCTACGAAGAACAAGCAAAAAGCGCTGGATTTATCCAACTATTTCTAACCTTGTGTAAATGTCAAGGATGAGTTAAATCGAAACGAATCTGTGCTCTCTTAACAAAGTAAAACAATTCTTAAATGTTAGTCATTATACTACCAATAAGGTCTAGGGGATTTTATTACCATCGGGATATGAGAAGGAATAGACATATTTTTGTCCAAATTTAAGTCTTCGTTAAAAATCGTTTAAAACATTAACGAAAATGAATAATATGAAAGGTCACTGGGGAGAGGGCGACGCGATAACATCCGTAGAGACATATTTTCTTTCCTTTTTTACTTTTTTTGAGGCTTCTATTAGAGATATGCCACATGATATGATATTATGATTTGTGACTAAAGCCCATAAAACATCCTAGGTACAATTGATCCAGGTTTCGATAGTATAGTCTGGGTCAAAATATGAAAAAAAGAAAATGTTGAATTAAGTTTTTAGTTCATTAATGCCTGCATCATAATTTAAAGATCGCTAACCAAACAAAATTTGACCATGGATGTTTCTTAAAACTTTATTTTATTTTTGTTATATTACTTAGTATAGTATTTTATTTAAATAATAACTAGTACTCGGCGTGTTACTGCCACTGAGGAAATAATTGTAAAATATAACTTTAAATTTTGAAGAGGTATATTGTTCAATTGAGTATAATAATACATTCATTGAAATTTAATGACAATATATTATAACTTTCAAAAAAATTATCGATACGATACGCACGCCACCTACTGTAAGTTAAGTGCACTATTCCTATAAGCTTTGCACAAGTGTAAAAAATAAGTTGACAAAGGTTTATCTCAATCTGATGAACGGTATGGCAACGCATAAAATACAAACAAACAAATATTAATTTTTATATATTAGAAGAAGATAGCTTCCATTGTGAAACTTTTGGCAGTCAACAAAAATTTCAATTGTGTGAAGCAACTTTGGAGTATGAATGTAATTTACTTTTAAATTTCAAAAGATTTTAAGATGCTTTATAGATGGTTAACACAAGCTCCTAAAGGTGAATAATGCATAGGGTTACTACCCCTTCTGTATATTACCATAATGAAAACCCTTTGAGTCGATTTGTTCCTACGTTATTCCTCATTTTCCTTCATCATCAGCTCGTGAAAGTTTATTGCTGCACACTTGACGCCGCTCACCAATTTGGGTATTTTACGTTTTGCCTAAACGAGATGGATTTATCGCCATCTATCGAAAACCGAAACATTTAACGGGCATCTGCCACCAGACGGCGATGTTGCATATAAAGGCAAATTCTAAAGTATAAAAAATTACCTATATCAAATATACATGTAAGGTCGAGATAAAGTGAAGATAAAGTGTGTAGTGGTAGAGCCACGCTGCAGTTATATTGTGGTTGTGGCACGAATCGTTCGGCTCAACCGGGGTAGGACTACGCTCTCACATAATACCAGTGTCAAATAACAGCTTAAGGCTGCTGATTTCCTATGCTGAGTGTAGCTAACCGGAGACCCTTTTTACTGGAAACGAGGCATTCCATCTTAGTCCTCAGGGGTAACAAAGCATCTACATTTTGATTCTTAATCCAGGATAAATGTATGTCTATGGGCCACAACATCCACTTACCATCAGATGGACTGTGAGTTCGTTTGTCATCCTGATCATATAAAAAAATGAAACCGGATTTTATTTTACGTAGTAAAGACACGCTGCAGCTAATATATAATGACTGCAGCACGAATATCCGACTGGGGTAGGGCCACGCTCCCACAGAATAACAGCATAATAATGCTGTGTTTCGTATAGTGAGTGTAGAGTGTTCTCTTAGTGTAGTGATAGCGCATCTGCGTTTTTATTTTTAATCGAGAATAGATGTAGATGTCTATGGGCTACAGCATTCACTTACCATCAAGTGGACTGTGTGCTCGCTTGTGACTCTCATTCTATAAAAAAATTAAGATCGCGTCTTAGTAATCTGCCTACTTAGCATCTTATGCGGATACGATTTAAACATGACAAAGCGGTTGGCAAATATCTTAGTGCCTTCTTTTATTTTAATTGTATACTAGCTGTTCCCCGCGAATTCGCCCGCGTGTAATTTAGGCTTTTAATTTTTTTGCGCGGAAGTCTAATCCTTTTTCTTAAATAAAAGTAGCCAAAGTTACTCCTTATAACATCAGCTGTCTGCCAGTAAAAGTTCTATCAAAATCGATACAGCCGTTTCGGAGATTAATCGGAACAAACAGACAGACAGACAGACAGACAAAAATTTTAAAAATTTTATTTATGTTATAAGTACCGTATATACTTTCATTTATGCATTTAATGGAAAGCTGTTATTTTGACATTACAAACAGACACTCCAATTTTATTAATTTTTATAGTTTGCTTACACAGTTTACACAGTACACACAGTTTACACAGTGCACACAGTTTACACAGTACACACAGTATACACAGTACACACAGAACACACAGTTTTTACAGTACACACAGTTTACACAGTACACATTATTTACACAATACATACTGTTTACACAGTACATACTGTTTACACAGTACATACTGTTTACACAGTACATACTGTTTACACGGTACACACAGTACACAGGATACACAGTACACAGTTCACACAGTACACATTATACACATAGTACACTTAGTTTACACAAATTTTAATTATAGTAAAGTAAAATAAAGCAGAAAATTTGCCTAAGTCGCTACGCTTGACAGGCGGAGTAACGTTCTAAACTTAGTAATACACTGAAAGACTAGTGGAAATATAACATTAGTCTCTACTTTTTATATAATAAGGGTTACAAGCGAACGTATAGTCCAACTGGTGGTAAGTGGATACAGTAGCTCATAGACACCTATATCTACCCTCTATTTAGAATCAAAACATACTTGATGCACTGTCACCTCTATGGGCTGTCAACTCTATGGACCAAGATGGAATAAATCGTAACCAGTCAAAATTGTAGTTCTCTACACTCACTATACGAAACACATCAGCATTTAGCTGCTATTTCAAGCTGTTATTCCGTGAGGGCGTGGTTGTTCCCCAGTCGAGTCAACGCATTTGTACTACAACCATAATATAGCAGAAGCATGGGTCTACCACGTACAAAACATCAGTCTCCATAAATTGTAACAAAAGAAGTTATTAATCACTAGATATAAGACCATCCGCATTTGTCCTTGCTACATTTATAGAATTGATATAGCCTTTCTAAAATTCCACTTAATAAGCGCTTTGACCTACAAACATTGCTTGGTTTTGTTACGTCCTATTATATTCGCACTGAGAAAAAACAAATGCGGTGTTATCTTGAAATATGTAAATCTTAATAAATAGCATGAAGGTGGACCATGTGCACATTTCTTTCCCGTATTTAAAACAAAACTGCGTCAAATTAGCAACTAAAATTTGAATTAACTGGAAATGATATTTTCCATCCGATAAGTTATAAAAAATCAGCATCTACAAAAAATAAAACTTATTCGAAACTATTTTATCTGTCGATATTATTTTTAATAATATTAAGTAACTGGACTTTCTCTCCACGAATTTTAAAAACAGAAATGTACAAAAATTGTTCCTTTTACACAAGACTAAACTTTTCTAATGTAAAACTAGCTTGTTTACTTTATCATCATCCTTTAAAAAATCCCTATTATTGATAAACATATTATATTATTGATTAACAAATACAAATAAATGTATAACTAGCGTCTATTAAAATGAAGCGTCATTAAAAATAAAATACACTATGACACAAGGGGTAGTGACGAAAAAATCTTACACCTTTTTGTCGCCTAGCTCCCACCCGCCAAACCTGTACCATCCGATAAGAAACTTCGTTCCAAAATACTTAATTTTGATTTCCATTTTGTTGCAGAAATCCGTGAAGCATTCGAGGCTGAAGCTCAAGAAGTGAAGAAACCGCGTCTACTCCTGACCGCTGCTGTACCCGTTGGTCCTGACAATATTAAGAGTGGTTATGACGTCCCCGCTGTGGCCAGGTAAGATAGCATTTTATACAAATTAACAATTTAAATTAAAAAATTAACTTAAAAACATACAAAGTCGCCGAGTACCGGGACAAACTTGTGTCTGAAGTCGAGTCTTTGCTTAACAAAGTCTCGGATTGGGGCCGACTAAATCTAGTCCAGTTTAATCCCCAGAAGACACAAGTTTGCGCGTTTACCGCTAAAAAGAACCCCTTTGTCGTATCTCCTCAGTTTCAAGGCACTCCCCTTGCTGCCTCAGCCAGTATCGGAATCCTTGGCATCGACATATCGAATAGCGTGCAGTTTCGTGGTCACTTGGAAGGGAAGGCCAAATTGGCCTCTAAAAAGCTTGGCGTGCTCAGCAGAGCGAGACAGTATTTCATGCCGGCACATCGCTTACAACTTTACAAAGCGCAAGTTCGGCCCCACATGGAATACTGTTCTCATCTCTGGGCCGGGGCACCCCAGTGCCAGCTCCTTCCACTTGACCGTCATCCAGCGCAGAGCGATTCGAATCGTCGACGACCGAGTTCTTTCCGATCAGCTCGATACACTGGCACTGCGTAGAGATGTTGCATCTCTTTGCGTATTTTATCGCATCTATCACGGGGAGTGCTCTGAGGAATTGTTCGGACTAATTCCAGCCGCTCAATTTCACCATCGCACGTCGCGACAAAACTCGCGTTACCATCCGTACCATCTGGATGATTGGCGGTCCACCACTGTGCGATTTAGAAGAAGTTTTCTCCCTCGCACAACTTCTTTGTGGAATCAATTACCACCAGCGAATTTTCCGAACCGATACGACTTAGGAACCTTCAAGAAAAGAGCTTACACCTTTCTAAAAGGCCGGCAACGCATCTGCAATTCCCCTGGTGTTGCGGTTGTTCATGGGCGGCGGTAGTCACTTACCATCAGGTGAGCCGCAAGCTCGTTTGCCCCCTATTCTATAAAAAAAAATACAACATAAAGGCTATATACACAACATAGATACATGACTACTTGGTAGCTAGGAGGTAAGCGGCCGTAACAAGAAAACAGCAGATTTTTTTTACAAGTAATAATTATTAAGAGTTAAGTACCACAATTTATTTTAAACTATAATTTTTATTCTTCTCCTTTAGCTATCTGGACTTCATCAACGTTATGGCCTACGATTTCCACGGAAAATGGGAAAAGGAAACTGGTCACAACGCCCCTCTGTACGCTCCCTCATCTGACTCTGAATGGCGAAAACAGTTATCCGTAGATCATGCATCACACCTCTGGGTCAAATTGGGAGCTCCTAAAGAAAAACTCATCATTGGTAAGAGATTTCGTTCGACTTTTTTTCTGCTTACGAGTCTGTGTTGGTCATTCATTCATGACAGCCTTTTCCATTCATGACTACTGAAAGTAGACATTCCCCATAGATTTTTGACATATAAAATAGATTTGATATAAAAGTGATACTATATTTATATTAATTTAATCAAGTTTTTTTCCCTAAATCTATGAACAAATGAATAACTTCTTTGGTTTGGACAAGTTACAATAGAGTTGGACATAAAAACGCCTGTTAATATAAAAAATATTAATGCTATTCTAATTTCAAACGTATTTAATTATCATTCATAATAATCATTGAAATTTGTTGTACTTCACAAATTGTTAATAAGTGCTATTATTATTATTAGATTAACATAATATTATTTTATTGACATCAGTTCTTTATAATGACTTTGAATAAAACTAAGAATTAATTACTGTGTTCTTTCTACACTGATACCGGTAGGACGTGTAAATGATCCTCAAAGTTTTAATGCAACAAATTATTGTGGCATGTCTCTGAAATAAATAAATAAATAGATTACCTCATAATGGATGTTTACCATAGTTGCCACGCTTGATAGGTGGGTTGGCGACCGCAGTTATTTATTTTCTAGCTGTTTTAGTTTACGTTTAGGCACAGTAACCATTTATGACACCCACAGGACGAATTGGTGCAATTGATTTTTACACCGCCACCTACGAACAAACGAAACGGAGTAATTTAGAATATTATTAAATTTTGATATCGTTCTTTAATTATCTTTACTCCAAAATCTCTTACTAGCGTATTCTGTAATTTAAATCTATATAAATAAAAGGTACAACGCTAATCAGAAACCATTTTACTATCTCAAATAATTTATAAATTTACAAAAAGTTTATAGCTCATTTTACAAGGTGTTACGCCAAGTATTCGTATTACAATCATCAAAGTTTCTAAGACGCAGTCAAATTTCAGGTATGCCAACTTATGGACGTACTTTCACTCTCTCAAACACTGACAACTTCAAAGTGAATTCTCCAGCCAGCGGGGGTGGCAAGGCTGGCGAGTACACAAAGGAGAGCGGCTTCCTCGCCTATTACGAGGTAATTTTAATTAAAAATTTTCGTCTCGAAATCTTATGTCATTTTACCTGCTCCATCAAATATTTATGAGCTGGGTGAAAATATTCCATTTGTTTTGGAATTATTTCAATCCTTTAATGTTTGCGTACCTTTGAATTTGACTTTGCATAACGAAAGGTTGAGCGTTTCGCTATGAATGTTATTTAAGACTCTTGAGAACAAAGAAATCTGAGCAATGGCATCCAAATCATGAAAACTCAATTATATCAAGACAAGCGGAAGTACTGAATTAGTCTTCCAGCATAATATAAATACTTTTGTACACATATGGACTAGAATTTGATAAGTTTTGACGGCTCCGTGGCGCAGTGGCTTACCAATGAGTAGTTGCGCTGGGGGCCGCGGGTTCGAATCCCGCACGGAACAAGTATATGTATGGCCTACAAATAATTGTTCCGGGTCTGGATGTTTGTCCTCGTGCAATTTATGTTTGTAAACTGCCTCCACGATACAGGACAAAATCCTAATGTGGGGGTAACGTTTTAAAAAAAAGAACGAAAACAGAAAATGAGGTAAGTTGAAGTGTTCGTACGTAATATACCTTCTATGTTTAAATAACTTCAATTTTTACTGTAAAAAAAAATGATAATAATTATTTACTAGAAGGTAGGATCCCTTTCTGCCTATAAAAAGGGATAGGCACCACTCTCTTACATATTTCTGCCGCTGAATGGCAGCGCTGCACTGCACCTGTGTCAGCGGAAGGATATAGAAAACGGTGTATGCCTCACAACTTTGTGAGGCATTTCATTTTAGTTCTCGGCTACGCATCTTTTATTATAGAATAAGCGTGACAAATGAGCACACAGTCCACATTATTGTGAGTGGATGCTGTAGCCCATTTACATCTATGACATTTACATCTATGGTCTATTAAGAATCAAAATGCAAATGCGTTGTCCCTACTGAGGACTAAGATGGAATGCTTCGTTTCCAGTAAAAAGGTCTCGTCTTTGTATGAAGTTAGTTACAGGTGTCCATGGACTCCAGTAAATCAATTGGACTGAAAGTTCCTTTGTCACGTCAGTGCTACAAACTTTGTTAAAACTTAATCTATTGTCACAGATTTGCGAGATGCTTCGCAACGGTGCTACCTACGTGTGGGATGATGAGATGAAGGTGCCTTATGCTATCCACGGTGATCAGTGGGTTGGTTTTGATGATGAAAGGTCAATCAGGAATAAAATGAGGTAATTGAATTATTTTTCGGTTTCTTTTGACATAAACTATGTCCAAATTAAAAGTTTCTTCTATATCTTGGAGACGTTTTATGAACACCGTGGTCAAAGAGGGAAAAAGGTGATAGAGGGAAACAAATCAGAAGATGGGTAGCAGCGTATTAATAATAACGACTAAAATTTTTTAAAAAAACTGCGGTTGCTAACTCACTCGCCAAACATGGCAACTATGGCATATATTACCCCTATAAGGCAATCTATAGGGGAGACCTACAGGGTTTTAATTGGCTGTAACGGTTACGGTAATGTTATTCATATAAACCCAGAACAACTATTTACAGGTTATAATAATGTTATTACTGTGGGACAATCCTATCAGCGGCCAGCAGCGCTGGAGCCAAACACTTTGTCACTAGGCTACCGAGTCGTCACTGTTATATATATTTAGTTCTTAGCTGGCGTATTAATTCGAGGCTCAGGACAGTTCTTTCCTTGAGGGAGGCCTATATAGCAGTGGACTTGTGAAGCACTGTAATAATCATGATGATGATTATGATGCTTTAGTTCTTAGATAGCTAAATTACGCAATTGGCCTGTTAGTATTTTTTATTTTTTTATTCTCTATTGCCAGTACTTTGTAACCCACAAAAGGCGACCTAAATGTTTTGTGGCATTTGTTACCAGTGAGTCTAACGGGCTCACACCAATGTAACTTTTTAATTATTATATTAGCCAGTGCTTGACCACAATCAAAGTTGTAAGTGGTGATGGAGGCCTCGATAGTAAATTGCACTGTCTTAGCGAAACAAAAGTCTATTCACTCTCGTCTTAAAGATGCCCAGATTGTGTTCGGACGGAAAGACAGACGATGGCAAATTATTCCACTCGGCTGGTTGAAAGATGGTGTGAGTGATTCCATAAGTGTAGCAAAATTACGTACTTGAGCTACTAGTACATTATTTTATAGACTTTTCACTTACATTCCTTAGCCTCTTGTGTATTTTCGTTTTGAAATTGTAAAAAAATAATAATATTGAATGTGCTAAATTAATTATTTAAAAGTTAATTAACGCTATTGCAACGCCGAGTGCGTTTGCTTTGCTCAATTTGCAGGTGACAACCAATTTAGTTCACAAACAACTAACAACAAATGTTTACTCCGAACAAACTGACGGAATTAAGCTTAACGTTATATGTAAGCTTTGAACGGGGCTAAATCCGCTTGATTGACTTTTTGTATGGGCGACTGACTTTGAAATTCAACTAACTTTTGTTAATATTTACGGATTAACCTTTCCATTGCAAATATTTTTCTACAGAATACTACATATATATATAATATATATATATATATATATATATATATAGTCACTAGGCTTTCTTACTTGACTAATGCATGCATACTTGTAGCACGAATGTGTTTGCCCGACCAGGGAATGATTACAAGATAAGAAAAGTGCGTGGGAGATGGATATTATTCCATCTCGCTCACACTATACAAAGGGACGTTGTGACGGAAAAATCTTATGCCTCCTCCACACTACTCGCGAAGTAGATCGAAGTTGGACGAGGTGAATTGTGTATAGAGAGGTACTTCGATTCGCTTCGTGCAACCTCGCTTCACCGCAGGCGACTTCCGATCACTGTCGGTTTTTTGCGCCAAAGTCAAAGGACTTCGCGAAGTACCCCGAAGTTACACGAAGCGTCTCACTACACTACTCGGCTTACGCTAGTTATAATTTTTTTGGTATATAAATATTAAATATGTAGATTTCTACATAATTATTTATTTAGTTAACGCATTGACGTCTTACTGTTTACACAATTAGGTATCTATAGCAGCTGTCTCTTGAACGTTATTCATGTTAAGGGTGCGAGAGAGTCAAGACGACTGAGCTCTTCGAGAAGTAGCACGAGTGTGTAGTCACGTTCTTCGAACTGCGATCGACTTCGACGAGTACAAGGCATCAAACTTTTTCTCGCCTAGCTCCCATCCGTCAAATTCATACCATGCGAAAAGTAACTTCGTTTCAAAAATGTATACTACTCTATGCTACGACTCTTTTTTTTGCTAAGGAATTCGTCTGTGTGGGTACCACACTTTTACGTATTTTAGTCACCAAATTCGTGCTTGCAACGGTGTGTTCCGGTCTGAAAGGTATAGAGAGCCAGTGTAATCACAGGCTGTGAGGCATTCCACCTTACTCCCCAGAGGTGACAACACATCTTTGGCCTTCTTTGTTTGAAGTTAGGCTGCAGTCATCGATCACTAATAAAAAACTACAAAATCAGGTATACTTACCCAATCAGTGACAAAAAATGTCTTTACTGAATGAGCGCCCACTCGAACATTTGGGTGCGCTTTTAATTTGTACGCAGCTTTGTGAATACAACTTTAGGCAATGCATATAAGGTTGAATTTATATTAATGTATATTTATTTCAACTATAATTACGTCAAAACAATTAGCGTCAGTTTTAGAGAACTTTTGCTTGGGATTGTGTATCTAGCTTTTTATTAGTAATGGATGGCTGCAGTAGCTACTTATGCATATTAAAGTAATGCCTTACAAATTATTATATTTTTATATTATTTATATTTATATTATTATAGCATATTATTTATATTTATATTATTATAGCATTTTTATGACTTAAAGTAAGATAACGAATAGAATGAAATTAGTAATCAATTTAACTTTAATTAATTACAATTTTTCCGTGTCTAGATGGATTAAGGACAACGGTTTTGGAGGCGCTATGGTGTGGACAGTGGATATGGATGACTTCAAGGGCGACGTGTGTGGTGGAGACGTGAAATATCCACTTATTGGTGCAATGAGGTGAGTTGTACTAAATTTGAGTTCAATAATATTTATAATTATTAAGAAATAGTAAAAGCCGACTTCAAATAACTAAAAAGAAATATTTTCTCCGCTTTTAACCTCTGAATTATAAACTTTTTAATAAAAAAAAAAGAATCTTCAAAATCGGGTCCCTATTGGCAAAGATATCGTGTAACATACATAAAAAGACATACATTCGAATTATGAACCTTCCCCTTTTTTGAAGTCAGCTAATATACATAATAAATACATTTTAAAATATAAATATTCAAAATAATGAAATGTAAAGTCAACAATATATCAGTACATTATCCGTCTGAAACTGCATTGCGGCACTGAAAACTCGGCGCATAACTTTGGGTATGCAGCATCCATTATAGATTAAAAATTGATGGATGAATGGATAGGGTCATAAGTTAACTGGATCGAAGTAGCACACGTACTACACTTTTTAATAGGATTAAATATCTGGACACTTACATATATTACATGGTGACTTCAGAGTAGAAAAGTACTATAATATTTATATTGTTTTTGTTAGGTTAATATTATAATAATTTATAACATATCCGTTCATAATCGATTACAAAGATAATCTATGCAAATAAATAAAATTGAAGTGTCTGTTTGTAATGTCAAAATAACAGCTTTTTACTAAATGCATATAAAAGTATATACGGTAATTATAACAAAAGCACAATTTTAAAAATTTTGTCTGTTTGTCTGTCTATTTGTTCCGGTTAATCTCCGAAATGGCTGGACCGATTTTGGTGGTACTTTCACTAGAAGATAGTTGATATCATAAACAGTAACTTAGGCCACTTTTATTTTAGAAAAAGTATTAGGGTTCCGCGCAAAAAAATTAAAACCCTAAATAACACACGAGCGAAGTCGCGGGGAACAGCTAATTTAAAATAAAATTACAAATTCAATAAATAGACACATTTTGTCACGCCTGTATTCCCGCCTGTACCCGGGAGATAGAGTTTAAAAACACTGAGCTACTCGCACCACGTTTGGCAAAAATATGGGTTTAGATGGGAAATTATAAAACTAATGATATGTGGCTGGCCCATTGTCTACACAATCATAAACGCAATATCACATTAGTCGCCTCTTACGATATGCTAGTCAAGTAACACAGTTGGCATATTATTCATTTTTGCCATAATACCCACATGAACATGGAAGCTATAAGTCCCAGACCAACATGGGCAAAAAATGCACATGGCATTAATTAATCTTTAGTAATTATTATTTCTAATTTAATATTCTGTTTAGGGAGGAACTCCGTGGAATATCACGAGGAAAGGATGCGAAAGATGTTGATTGGTCTACTGTAGCTGAAAGCGTGGTTATTGATGTTACTGAGAAACCTCAACCAATCAAGATCAGTTTATCAGATGTACTAAGCAAAGTTAAGAAACCGACAAAGACCATAATCGTTAAAAACCCTAGTTCAGCCGTCGCCGATAAGTACAGTAAGTACATAAAGCGTAATTTAATGATAAATGTGCTTCGTTTACTTATTATAACCAATGTTTGACACTGACTACCTGACAGTAAGTGGCGATGCCTATTCTCTCTTGCCTGGAAGACACATAAATTATAATCGGATGGCAAGACAGATGCTGGCAAATTATTCCACTTCTGTGCGTATTGCGAACGGCAAATCAAACAGTTTGGTGTGAATACAATGTATGTCGCCAACGAAGATATGGAGAACAATCCAGCGTCTGGTGGTCAGATGATGCAACATTTTGTATTTATTTGTATAATTTATATTTTAACATAACAGTAGTCTCAATATTCACATTTAGAAATTTACAATTACGCATGGCAAACAAATACTTTTTATAATTCTTATTAGCAGCCAAATATTACTGAGAATCGTGGTAACTCAGGGCAATACTGTAAATTTCATAGTACTCTAGAAACACGGATTCGATCCCCGCCGGCATAAATGAAATCGTTAATGCTCGGCGGCGAGGGAAAACATTGCGAGGATACCTGCATGTTTGAGAAATTACAAAAATAGCGTAAATGAAGACATGTGAAGTCAGCCAACTCGCATTGCGGCTGCGTGGCAGACCTTTTCTTGCTCTAAAAATCCTTTCAGAAATGAGAGAAGGCCTGTGCACAGCAGTGGAAAGTATAAGGCTGTTACTTACATGTTTTTACTTTAGCAAATATATATGTTTTTAGCTTCTTCTCATGGTCGTTACTTCACTTTGAATTAACGGTGAAAATGAAAGTGAATAAGTCAGTTCATGAGCTAAATCAATTAATCGTAGCAGCGTCTAGACACATTCCAATTTACTCTTACGATCTCATTGCATCAAGTCTGTATGCTATGAGAGACGTAATTTCTATTATTTATTTAGTTTACAGTCGCAGTCAGTTCTATTCCATTCTACTGGCCGGTTCAAAATATAAATTTTACTGTGGAATTCAGGAAAAAGTACCTTTTTCTTGAATTCATTCTTGAATTAAAATTTGCATAATTGGCACATCTATCTTGTAAATTTGCTCTCACCGTTTTAAATATTTGTACTATTTTTGTACCCGTCGTCACTATCTGTTTTCAACTTCCGTCCACGAAATGGTTACAGCGCCATCTGAAGGAAGCCATATTTTTACGGCTATTGCTCCCTTGTGACAGAATAGGTCACGGCAATTTGTTTCATAAATTCTTATTATGTCTTGTACTTAGGCTTTATTTAAGTTCTATTAGTTATGTTCTCATTTTAATCAAAGTCAAATTATAACACAAATAAACGTAACATAAAAACTCTTAAAAAAACTTCTAAGACAAAAAAAAATGTAACCCTCCTCTTAGTACAGTCTAATAATAAGCATGCATGCGAGAAATTAAATCAGGACTATATTTGATCGCTTGAATTTTCTTAAATCAAATGGGTAACTCAATCACTATTACAGAACTGTGATTAACATTACTTACGAGCCATTACATTCAAAAGAAAGTAATGAAATCACTTATTCAGTGACTAATAACGTGAACAGTTTCTTATTCATTTCTAAAAATGCTTGTAGAAATTGAATTGGTACTCAAACGATTTTTCAAAATATTTAAGTTGTCACGCAACGGCTTGATATTACTTTCACTAAACTTTTATACATTAATCTGAAACGAAAGTGCTGATTTCTGCCTTAAACTTCCTATACTTATTTAAAATTGCTCCTTTTACTTTCTAAAGAGCTTTTAACGACCGTGCTATTAGTTTTATTAAGGTTGTAATAACAGATACATTAATCGGAATAATATTTTTTTTACGTAGTAGAGCCATGCTACAGCTGTATAAGTAATATATAGTTGTGGCACGAATAGGTCGGCTCGACCGGGGAAAAACAACGCTCTCACAGAATACCAGCGTAAACTAACAGCTTAACTCTGATGTGTTTCGTATAGTGAGTGTAGAGAACCGGAGACCCTTTTACTGGAAACATCTTAGTCCTCACGGGTGACAACGCAGCTGCATTTAAATTCGTAGATGTACATGTCTATATGCCATGCCAGAAAGAGCCACCTGTCAAAGCTGAAGACAGAATGTGGCAGCATCGTTTCCGGGGCACCTGAGATTTTGAGTGAGATTGAGAGGTTCTATGGGCAGCTGTACACGTCATCGTTGGAGCCGCACGCAAGTGTGAGTAACGATCCAAGAGCGAGTCTTATCCGACATTATTCCGTTGATATCCCGGACGTCAGTCTGAGCGAGATTAGAATGGCTCTCCAGCACCTTAAAAACGGCAAGGCCCCAGGCGAGGATGGAATTACAGCGGAGCTTCTGAAAGCGGGTGGAAAACCGGTACTTGAAGTCCTTCAGAAGCTCTTTAATTCCGTCCTCCATGGTGGCATTACACCGGAGGCGTGGAGCAGAAGTGCGGTGGTCTTGTTCTTCAAGAAAGGCGACAACGCTCTCTTGAAGAACTACAGACCGATATCCCTTCTGAGCCGCGTCTACGTGCTGTTTTCGAGAGTCATTACGAATCGTCTCGCGAGCAGACTTGACGACTTCCAGCCTCCCGAACAAGCCGGTTTCCGAAAAGGCTTTAGCACCATAGACCACATACATACCCTTCGGCAAATTGTACAGAAGTCCGAGGAGTACAATTTGCCACTATGTCTGGCGTATGTGGACTATGAGAAAGCCTTTGATTCCGTCGAAATTTGGGCGGTGCTGCAGTCCCTTCAGCGATGCCAAGTCGACTGTCGGTATATCGAAGTGTTGAAGTGCTTGTACAGTAGGGCTACGATGGCTATCCGAGTACAGAACCAGAGTACGAAACCTATCCAATTGCAGAGAGGTGTAAGACAGGGTGACGTCATATCCCCGAAACTCTTTACCGCTGCATTGGAAGATGTTTTCAAGCTTCTGGACTGGAAAGGATACGGTATAAACATCAATGGCGAGTACATCACTCACCTTCGATTTGCCGACGATATAGTCCTTATGGCAGAATCGATGGAGGACCTAAGCACTATGCTCAATGACCTCAATAGTGTTTCCCAACGGATAGGTCTTAAGATGAACATGGACAAAACAAAGATCATGTTTAATGTCCATGTCACACCTATGCCGGTAGTTGTTGGGAACACTAAGCTCGAAGTTGTTGACGAGTATGTTTACCTGGGACAAATAGTCCGACTAGGTAAGTCCAACTTCGACCGAGAGGTCAATCGACGGATTCAACTCGGCTGGGCAGCGTTCGGGAAGCTACGACACATCTTCTCGTCAGGTATACCTCAAAACTTGAAAACGAGACTGTACACCCAGTGCGTGTTGCCAGTGATGACATACGGAACTGAGACGTGGTCCTTCACTGCTGGCCGGATGAGGAAGCTCAAGGTCGCTCAGCGAGCTATGGAGAGGGCTATGCTCGGAGTTTCCCTGCGTGATAAACTCAGAAATGAGGATATCCGCAGTAGAACTAGAGTGACCGACATAGCCCAACGGATTAGTAAGCTGAAGTGGCAATGGGCCGGCCATATAGCTCGAAGAACCGACAACCGATGGGGAAGAAAGGTTCTCGAGTGGCAGCCTCGTACCGGCAGGCGAAGTGTAGGGCGTCCCCCCACTAGATGGAGTGACGACCTGGTAAGATATGCAGGAAGTCGATGGATGCAGGTGGCTCAGGACCGTGCTTTGTGGCATTCTTTGGGGGAGGCCTATGTTCAGCAGTGGACTTGTGAAGGGCTGTAATGATGATGATGATGACATGTCTATGGGTCACAGTAACCACTTTTTTATAAAATAAGGGTGACAAACGAGCACACAGTCCATCTGATGATAAGTGGTTTCTGTGGCCCATAGACATCTACATCTTCTTTTTTCTTTTTTTTTTTAAATGATACTCCACTCCACATCTTCCACACTAGGATTTTCTCCTTTATCGCAGAGGCAGTTTACAAACATAAATTGCGAAAGGACAAACATCTAGATGTGTAGGCCATACAAATACTTGTTCCGTGCGGGATTCGAACCCGCATCCGAATCTATCTTCGTTTGCGAATTAAAATGCAGATGCGTTGTCAGCCGTGAGGACTAAGATGGAATGCCTCTTTTCCAGTAAAATTACTATCAGTTGGACCGTGTGCTCGTTTGTTACCCTAGTCTCATAAAAAAAAATTGATTTGAAGTGAAATATTAAATTATCAATTATTTAAGACACTTAATACGTAACAATTTTTACTTAAAATTAAGTTCGTTAGGATTTTCATTAGCTACGAATCCGTCTGCTATTCATTCCTGTTGAGTGATTTATTTATAAGAAATTTTAATAACAAGCATCTGTTCAGATCCCTTTTTTACAATTAAAGAACTGTGAAAAAAGAGCATGGGATTAGCATTAACACTTTTCAAACTTTCATTATACTTTTTTAATGGTCTAGAGAGGGTTGTTTAATTGAATGTAATAAATGAGAGGAGATCTGTGCCCAGCAGTTTGACGTATGTAGGCTGTAAATTATTTTTTTATTTACAGTCAAGAAAAATAAAAAAAATATAAAACAACACTCTTAACTCTTAAAACAGCAATCAATAAATTATCATCATAATTAAGCACTGCACAAGTCAACTGTTGAACATACCCCCAGGGCGAGCCACAAAATACGGTCTTAAGCCATTTAAATCCTTCTATTCCCGCCTGACTTATCAGATTGTCACCACTAAAAGTGGGCGGCCGCCCTACACTTCGCTTACATGACTGCCCCTTGAGAACCTTTCTTCATCATCCGTTGTCGATTCTTCCATCTATGTGACCCGTTTATTGCCATTTCAGCTTTATAGTTCGTTAGTATAGTCGTTTACTCCGTTCTTAATGCGGATTTCTTCATTGTGAATTCGATCACACAGCATATCTGTTTGAGTGACTTTCAGCTTCCTTATACGGCTGGCAGTCTCAGACTACTTCTCAGATCCTATGTCATCACTAGCAACATATAGTGGTGGTACATACTTGTTATCAAGAATCGAGAAATACGTGACCTGAAGACGTTTTCTGATCTCCCGTTTTCCAGGTGACTTGGCCACAACCAACCACTAACCACAACAACCAGCCAACGACAACCAATGACCAAGATGCCAATCACATGACCTCTTGGTCGTTGTTTACCAAGTCGAACACTTCATCCTAAGTAAAAAAGCTTATCAATAACATCAGAAATCAATAAACATGTCTTTAAAATAGTCGCCGCTATATTTTATAATTTTTAGGCAAATAAAAATAGGTCGAATATGGAGTGTAAATTTTCACAGTATAAAAAATAAGAATTACAATTTAAACACAACATTCATTAACTCGTAAGTCTCTACTTAAATTACGAGCGCTGAGTGTAAGCGACACTAAAAGCCACAAATCTTTAAAAGGAGTACTGAAAGGGTCACTTTTGGGTACTCGGTTGTTCCTAACTGCCAACAACAGCTAAGAATGTCTAGAGCCGGCGACATAGTTGCTAAAAGTTTGCAACATCGAGTGCTTTTACGCTGAAGTTTTTAAAAACCAAACAATAGTGAACTTTGCTTTAGTGCTCATGAGTAACATATTATATTACTATTTTGCTTAAACTGGGGATCTTAATAATATGGATCTTATAGCAAATCGCTTTTATGATTTAGGTTTTCTCAAGTTTATGTTTATGACCAAGGGAATTTTTCTTTAGAAGTGAGTAGGTAGGTACTTTTATGTTATCACTCTCTTAGCACAGATACTAAATAACACCTTTTGAAGAGTATGCCAAGCAATTTTAAGTTATTACTTTAAAAGCTTTTTCAAAAACTTTCATTACCTAGAGTAGAGTGCTTTAAAAATGGAAAAAAAAACTCTTGAACGTTTTTGTAATCAATGTAAGGTAAGTTAACTTTCTCTTCTCTTTAAAACTTTATTAAACTAAGTTTGTATAAAAAGGGTTATTATAATATTAAAGAATTTATAGATGATAATAACCCCTGGAAATGAGGTGATCGCTACCAAGCTATTTCTAATTTGTTGTGTTGTTAATTTTTGTAACATACATGATTTTAAGCTGTTATTTAAAAAAAAGTCCCGCTGGGTTTCTTGCTGGTTCTTCCCAGGACAGAGGTTATTTTTTTCGAACCAGTGGTAATTATACGAAAGAATGACTTTCAATAAGTATTATTTATAATCTATATTGAATAAAAAAGTTTCTGTTTCTGTTTCTTAACTTTCTAAAAATGAACATAAAATAGTCAACGTACTAAATTTAATGGTAATAGTAACATTTTATTTTTATGTTTAATTGATTTAAGTTGTTTTTTTTTTACTATCGGCTGTAATAGTAGTGGTCATTATTTTACGAAAGGGCTGATATAATCAAAGTATATTCAAAAGTCTTTTAAAAATAATAATAATAAATCCTTAACGTTTTGATTGATTTGACAATGTGAGACTTACTTTGACAAATGCGTTAATTTATTTCTTACCCTGACGCGAAAGATTGATCGCTTTAAATAAAATTATCTTCAAAAGGAAGAATCACAAATTGAATATCCTATAAATACTTTTTAATTTTTGGATGATTTATGACTATTACTAAGCCTGTTATGTTGAAAACAATATTATTTATATTAAATCAGTGGATGTTGCCAGTGATGAAATATGGATCTGAGACTTGGTCTTTTAGTGCTGGCAGGGTATGGAAGCTCAAGTTCGCTTAGCAAGCTATGCAAAGCGCTACACTAACAGTTTCCCTGCGTGATAGACTTAGAAATGAGGATATCCGCAGGATAAGCAAAGTAACCGACAAAGCTGCCGTCTATTTTCCGTCTAATAATTTTTTACGTGGTAGAACCATGCTGCAGCTATATTACTGGTGTTGTTGTATCAAGAATGGGTCGGCTCGACCGGGGAAGGACCATGCTCTCACAGAATACCAGCGTAAAATAACAGTTTAATGCTGCTGTGTTTCGTATGGTGAGTGTAGAGAACGGGAGACCCTTTTTACTGGAAAAGAGGCATTCCATCTTAGTCCTCACGGGTGACACGCATCTGCATTTTGATTCCTAATCGAGGATGGATGCAGATGTCTATGGGCCACAGCAACCACTTACCATCGGGTGGACTGTGTGCTCGTTTGTCACCATATCCTATAAAAAAATATGATTACAACCTTGTAGCGTCTTTTGAGGCAAGAGTAAATAAGTTCTGTTACACTTCTACAGTGAGATTTATAATCTAGGGCATTTATTAGCAATTATCACCAGATGGCATTCTAGTCATAGGTAAAAATAATAATAAATAAAGTAAATTATATAAACTGTATAGGATACGTAGAGACATAGAAACCATTTATTAGAAAATATAGAGAAGCCGAGGTAGAACAGGCGCTAGTCGCTCACTATCGATTTGATAGTATGCAGCAAAATAGGTTTATTTCCAATTTCTGAGAAATTAAAAAATTCCTGGGCATATGAACTCTACCTACACGTATTGAGACAACGCGGTGATCATTTTGAAGTTATACTTCTTTTGGGGCGTTTGAAAAATGATGAGAGTGATTTTTTTACGATGCGCGCGCACAACGACAGCTAAAAACGACACCGTGAAGTTGTTACGATGCGCGCGTACACTGACACCTCTAAGCGACAACTTCAATGGGCCTCTCAAGTTTTTTGCTTTATTACGCTAAAGAAGTATAACGTACTACGTGTGTACATAAGTACACACACACTTCTTTTTACTACGGAACCCGCTTCGAAACGAGAGGAGGCCTTTGCCTAGGTGCTAATCCTCATCAATATTTCTAGAAATAATTTCATTAATTCTTATTAATATAAATAATTTTTTTGCGTAGAACGGGAACCTCAAGTTCTCTGCTACTTGACCTCCTGGTCCTCGAAGAGACCTAGCGGTGGCCGGTTCACGCCAGAAAATGTTGATCCAAATCTGTGCACACATATTATCTACGCTTTTGCAACTCTTAAAGATCACAAACTAGCTGAAGCAGATGAGAAAGATGCGGACATGTATGACAAAGTTGTGGCATTAAGAGAAAAGAATCCTAATTTAAAGGTAAGAAATAAAAAATATTTCTACTGTTTGGAGTTAAATAAAAATTTACCGAACTATTGAACCTTTTCGGCCTAGTCGGTCTGTATAGACACCAACTACTTACACGTACCTACACTTCTTTTTTCGGGTTTAAAAAACTACAACCCTAGTATTATTACTATGAAGAAGTCTAATTTACTACTCGGAAGTGTTGAAGGATTCGCGTCCTCCTTTGTATTAAAATAACAAAGAACTTACAATCCACCTGAAGGTATGTGGCTATTGTAATTTATGGAAACCTGCAGCGAACTCAAAACAAAGAAGGCCACACATGCGTAGTCGCCTGTGACGATAAAGATGGTATTCCTCACAGCCTGCTTTTATACTGGATCTATAAATGTCTACAAGCTATAGCAGCAGTAATAAGCAACATGTAGTTGCGATGCAATAATATCTACCACCATATAACGTCCAGTGGGTGTCGTAATAGACGACAAAGAGAAAAAAATCAGGAGATGGGCAGCAGCGTCTTCCCAATAACGCCTAAAAACAAAAATCTGTGTATGCCAACCCGCTTTCCAAGTGAGGCAACTATGAGTTCTATGTTTATATTAAAGTGGGTGATGACCTTAATAAGCTGTAACGGTAACGTTAAAAATAACTTAAATTTTAAAATACATTTACATACTTTAGTTTTTCAGTATTTTACGAAAATTTCATTAACGGTTATTTAAATGTCTTAAAATTTGAACTTATTTCCAGATCCTCCTTGCTATTGGCGGTTGGGCGTTCGGTTCTACTCCCTTCAAAGAACTCACGTCCAACGTGTTCCGTATGAACCAATTTGTATACGAAGCTATTGAATTTCTCAGAGATTATCAGTTTAATGGACTCGACATAGACTGGGAGTATCCTAGGTAAGGATTTTAATTTACAACATGTTCTATACTTATTAGTGTTCATGTTGTTTTTTTTTTAATTTTGCTTAATATATTTTTATCTCTCTAATAATTTTAAGCATGAAAGAAATGCTGTGAGGATTAAGCATGCGGAGTTTACCAATTTTTAAATGTGCACTTAGTTTATATTACTGTTATAGAATTTTGCATATGTAAGTGTAACATAGGTGGATCAAAAAATCGGGAGTTTAATAAAAATAAGTTAATTAAATTGATAGAATCCGTAAAAGTAATTTTTATTCAATTAGTTTTTTTTAATTCATAAAACTCCTTGTGTGCAGAGGAGCTGATGATCGCGCTGCCTTCGTGTCCCTTCTTAAAGAACTTCGCCTCGCCTTCGAAGGAGAAACGAAGACATCAGGGCAACCACGACTGTTGCTGACAGCAGCAGTGCCTGCTTCGTTTGAAGCTATTGCTGCTGGATATGACGTACCAGAGATTTCTAAATATCTTGTAAGTATATTAAAATTATAATAGAAATAATATTTAAACATCTTGAATTCAATTAAACAACAACTTTATAAATTGCACTGTAAGAAAAATTTTAACGTTTTTACCTGATGATTTTTTATACAATCCCACCTGATGGTAAGCGGTGATGTAGCCTAGGATGGTGACATACTGACTTTACAAAAGCCTATTCACTCTTGCCTTAAAGACATCCACATTGTAATCGGATGGGAAGACAGATTCTGGCAACTTATTCCACTCATTTGCTGATGACGAACGTATACTTACCTTTTCTGCATAAATAAATTTATCGCTATTACATTACTATCATTCGGTTTACATTGCTTGGTAATTTTAAACTTGATGGTGTTTCTCTTACCTTTCCTTGCTATGTACCTACTTAGAGAGAACATTACTAATACTCGTTAATGTGCTACATCAGGCGTTAGATAGAATTACTGTTTACATATGTGTATGTAACTTTTTTCTATGATGTGTATCTTTTTCTGTAATGAAAATTAGTACGTAGTAGTAGTAGTTTTATTAATAAAGTTAAAGTTATAGTTACAGCCTATATACGTCCCACTGATGAGCACAGGCCTCCTCTCATTTCTGAGAGGGTTTTAGGGCAAGAAAATATCTGCCGCGTTGCCCCAATGCGTTTCGGAGAACTTCACATGTCTTCGAAATATTTTTGACAATTTCTTATTTCTCAGAAATGCAGATTTCCTCACGATGTTTTCCTTCATCGCCGAGCACGACGTTAATCATCACTTAAATTTGCAATTATCAATTTCACTGGTGCTGGTGGGAATCGAATCCGGGTTACTCGCGTATTATAATATTTACAGCGAACGCATAGCCCCTGAGCTCTTTAATCTCTTTAACAGCATTTTAATAATAATTACAACTAACTCTTGTTGAATTATATATTTTAAAATAATTATTTTTAATTTTGCATTTTAATTCTTATTCCAGGACTTTATCAACGTAATGACTTACGATTTCCACGGACAATGGGAACGGCAAGTGGGACACAACAGTCCTCTGTTCCCACTCGAAAGCGCGACCAGCTATCAGAAGAAACTGACTGTTGTGAGTTTAATTTTTTGAATACTATTCACTAGATCTAATGTTCGCGGTTCTTATACAAAAAAATAATATTTATTGTTTTGGAGCTTTTATTTTTATAGGAGAGGGGGCAAACGAGCAATCGGCTCACCTGATGGTAAGTGACTACCGCCGTCTATGAACATCTGCAACACCAGGGGAATTACAGGTGCAAGGCCGGCCTTTTAGAAAGGAGTAAGCTCTTTTCTTGAATGTCCCTAAGTCGTATCGGTCCGGAAAAATCGCCGGTGGTAAACTATTTCACAGAGAGATCGTACGCGGGAGAAAACTCCTAGTATAACGTACAGTGGTGGACCGCCAAGCGTCCAAATGGTGTGGACGGTATCAGGAATTTTTGCAGCGATATGCGTTCGTGAAATTTAGCGGCTGGGATTAATCCGAAAAATTCCTCAAAGCACTCCCCGTTGTAGACGCGAAAGAAAATGCAAAAGGATGCACCATCTCTTCGCAGCGCCAGTGAATCGAGCCGATCGGAAAGGACTCGGTCGTCGACGATTCGAGCCGCATTGCGCTGGATGCGTTCAATTGGAAGGAGCTACCACTGGGGAACAGTATTCCATGTGAGGCTGAACCAGCGCCTTGTAAATCTGCAGGCGGTGTGCCGGCATGAAATAATGGCTAAAAGTACGGGCTAAATTAAAAATTCGTACGTTCCATGTTGTCCTAAGTTTGACAGCTATCGTAAAACACTACTAACGTAATTATTATATGTTTAGTGGGAATGATTACTCGTACCTAGGTTATTAATGGTGTTTATAATACAAGTATATTTTTAATTAAAAATAAAAATAAATATGAAATGATTTCATGTAAAACTAATTTAAACAAAATTATGGTTTGTTTATTTTAACTAGAAACATAAAATAGGAGTAGAAACGAGGTAAAAAAAAAATACTTACACCATGGCAGTTAGGTACATAATTCCAAAGCGTAATATTTTAAAAAGGTAAGATAAAACGAAATGGAAACGGTATGAACGTGCACCAACCTCATGTTTTGTAGAAACAAAAAAATTTACAAAGATTTGTACAAAAGTATGCAGAATTTATCTGTTTATACTGTATTTAGTGTGCGGCTAAATTTTGTCTGTTTTTTTACATACCTAAGATATAAAAGATATTAAAATTTAGAATAACCTAACATATCCTTTTACCTACGTTTTCAAATGTATGGATTCATCTAAATAATGCTTTGCAATCCAATATTATCCCGAAGTATATTCACCAATGAAATAAATATATTTCCATTGATATTTCTATGTATATCTAAAGGGTTGATATTTTCCAGGACTATTCTGCCCGTGAATGGGTCCGACAAGGTGCTCCTAAAGAGAAGTTGATGATTGGTATGCCCACATATGGCAGATCTTTCACATTAATAAACGAAACACAATTCGACATCGGCGCCCCTGCTTCTGGTGGAGGTAAGATTTAATGAAAACATAATCGTAAGTAATGTTTGTTATAAGTTTTTATTAATATAACTTTCTTCTTCTTCTTCGTTATGAGCCCTTAACATTACACTGCTGCTGCAAAACCTCTCCTACCCCTGGCAGGTGGATTGGAGATCTCAGTATCAAATGTGACCCTTATCTTTGAAACTCCTGTCCGTCGCTGGCTCTGGGTATTTATTAAAGTTATGTTATTATCGATATTAAAATATCGATTATTTTATCGACCTGATTTACGCGAAGTAAGTTTTACGAAATTTAATATAATGGATTTCCGCAAAGTAACGCCTGATTCTATTAATTATCTGGGTATTTACGCCCATAAATAAGATAGTTATATGGACATCGTTTACTTTTTGACATCTACAAAAATGGTCTACATTTTTCTGACTTTCTCATAGTCGCCTCTTACGTCACCTACGAGGAGAAATGAGAAGACGAATTTCCTTACGCCGCCTCTACATACACATACATGAACTCTAGATTATTTGGAGCCTAAATGTTAAAATAAATTATTTTAATTTATTTATTAGGTGAAGCTGGAAGATACACCAACGAAGCTGGTTTTATGTCATACTACGAGATATGCGACTTTCTGAGAGAAGACAATACAACTTTGGTTTGGGACAACGAACAAATGGTACCATTCGCGTACAGGGACGACCAATGGGTGGGATTCGATGATGAGAGATCACTGAAAACAAAGGTAATTTAAAATAAGCCGTTCTCTTCTTAATATCTACACATATAAATAGAATTGAAGTGCCTGTCTGTAACATCGAAATAAATACCTAACATTGAGCTAAGCTCTTGTCTACTGTACCACTGACAATGTACCATTGTACATTATCATTTGTCTTGCGAAATGCTCTAGTATTACGTCCGCTTTTACCGCTAAAGAACGTCTTTTTAAAACCGTTTCTATTTAAAACCTCCTTAGCTTAATGACGAGGATTATTTAAAATCTCATTATTTAATTATATTTTTCTATTTAGATGACATGGTTGAAAGAAGAGGGCTTTGGTGGTATTATGGTATGGTCAATCGACATGGATGACTTCAGAGGTACTTGCGGCACCGGGAAATACCCACTTATCACCACTATGAAGCAAGAGTTATCGGAATACAAAGTCAAATTGGAGTACGATGGTCCTTTTGAATCATTGAGCTCTGCTAGTGGACAGTACACAACGAAAGACCGTGAGTATTTGGTTTATAAATAGTTCCTGCTAAATCACATTATATCACTAGCTTATTTAAATATGCGATTTAAATATAGGTCAGTCATAAAGCAACATGAGCCACTGACGAACCGGAGGGGAGTAGCCACAGCGTTATTTTCTGATACGGAACTGTCTGAAGGTTTGAAAGCGAAAGAAAGGGGGGGGGGGGTGAATCTGCGCACTCAGAAACAATCGTCTGTCACTACGAAACTCACATATAATAAACCAATAAACTAACAATTTCACAGACACATAGATACATTATCGGTGATAACGACGGCTCGGTGATAACGACAACTCGGATACAAACTTGGATCAGTCGCTCAACCAATCCACATATTGTATGAGGGCAAGCGACCTGTGTTTGTAAACAAAACCTAAACAAGACGAATGTTATTATAGTATTCGTTTAAGTTTAAAAGTAGTAAATAGCTGAATGTGATTAGAAATTACTTATATATGGAAGGTGACGACACCTTTTTGTAAATATGACCTGGCTGAACAGTCAGATAGTTGTTTGTTTAAATGTAACTGTATACTTTATAACGTAGGAAGGAGTATTAGACCCTGCAGACCCTAAGTTCCCTATACAAGCATTCCATCTCATTCCTCAAGGGTGACAAATTTTCTCGATGTTAGACGGCTCCGCGGCGCAGTGGTTTCGCAATAAGTTACAACGCTAAAGGCTGCGGGTTTAAATCCCGCATGGAAAAAATATTTTGTAGCCTACAAATAATGTGAAATTTACTTTTAATTATGTAAACTGCCTCCACGATACAGAAGAACATCCTAGTGTATTAAATAAAAAGATGAATGAGCCCTAATATCTACAATAATCTTTTGGTGGTATGAGTGCTCGTTGGTCACTCTTAGTTACGTATATGAAAAAATCACATTTTATATAAACAGAGTACTTGGCAACGCTTTATTAAAAGTTATGTTTTCTACAGCCAATGAAGTAACATGTGAAGAAGAAGATGCTCACATATCATACCATCCCGACAAAGCAGACTGCACCATGTACTACATGTGCGAAGGTGAACGAAAACACCACATGCCCTGCCCACAGAACCTCGTCTTCAATCCCAACGAGAACGTCTGCGATTGGCCCGAAAACGTCGAAGGATGCACCCACCACACGCAAGCACCAGCCGCTAAGCGATAAAATTCTAGAAATTAGTCATATAATCGTCAAATAACCAAGCAATCTGTAAATTACTGATAATTATTGTTACATTGATTTTAGTTACTCGATTTTAATGCTCATCTCTTAAATTTCCATGTAGTTTTTGTTGATGTGTTAAGAGAATTTCTTTTGGTATATTTAAAAAGGATATTTTAGTACTTTGTAAATTTGAACACTATCACATCTGAGTATAAATTAACGTGAGAAAGTTATGTTTCAATTTCAATAATAACTTTGAGTGTGACAGTGATTGTTCAACAAATAAATATACATTTAAAATACTATCCACCTTTAATGATTAACTAGGACATTGCTTTGTAAATTAACGAAGTTCTTGAAATGACGATGATAGTATTCGTGTGATATAATGTAAATTTAATGCTATCAGTAAACTTAAAATTAGATATTCCTTGATAAATTATATTTTAGTACCCCGTACACTTGTCTCCCAAAAGTGCACAATATTCAATACTATTTGAATAAACACATTTTTTCCCTATATACCATAAACTATTAAGCAAAACCCACAAGCGATAACCAAAAGAAGAAAGTAATAAAGAAATCGAAGTAGGGCCATAATCACTGGATACTGAACCAAAATTTGAATTTCTACTGTAAGTAGGCTTTATGGATTGGCTTGTTTTGCATAACATCATCCAAATTTAATTAAAAAATAAACAAATTGTGTACATTTGGGATCGTTACTATATTTATTAATTACTAGATTAAGTTTTTGAAGCTTCGTAAATACTCAAATCAGCTATAACACTGCCTTTTTGTACTGCCATCGTGGTTTTTGAGAATTTTACGCATTGTAATGTTGTAGGGACAAAACATTGTGACAATATTTTAGTTATAGGTATATAAAATTAAGTAGGCGAATAAAATTTTAAGTTTTGTAAATATTGTATTTAGATACAAATGAGATGTAAGATATTAAATATTTCTAAATTATATTGGTTTTAATTAATAACTGGTAAATATTTTTGATCGGTTGAACAGGTTCATTCATGGATAAAAACTCTTCACTAACATGTAACAGTCGATTATTGGACAAAGGTCCAATAATCGACTTCCATTGTTAGGCAGACGAAAAAACGAAAAATTGATTAAAGGAATAGTCTTTTATCTCTCTGTCTTAAATATAAATAACGGCACTTTAATAGTTCTTGTCCAAGCGATTGGGGTTTGTTAGTTTTAACATAAAAATATATAACAAATGAATATCCTTATATAAAAATCGGCGTGGGTGTGTTGCGGTCTGCCATCAAAACTTAATTAATATCTGATAACTAATTGTAAGTTCAAGTTTTGGTAACGTTACAGCCTACTGAATTCAACTGCTGAAATAGGCTTTCCCATAAATTACCTCGTCAGGGGGATCTTTGCCAAATTTGCTACGTTATTAAGAAGATGCAGCTGCTCATTTCCTGATTTATTTCCCTCGTTCGCCTCTTACGATACCCTGGATATCTATACTATACGTATCTATATATCTTACTATATCATCTGATAGACATCAGGACGTTATAGTCAGAAAAATAAAATTGTAGAATCCTACTCAGAGAAACTCAAAACGTAGGGTAAATATTGAAATTACGACATTCGAAAATCAAATCCATGAGACATTAAAATTAAAAAGATTTTTTTTAAATGTTACTTAGAAATTAAAAAACCCAACCACATTAATACACTTGCACAATAAAAATTACTGTATATCGTTATTGTGTGTAATTTTCACAAACATAAACATCTACATGGGCAATAATCGGGACCCGGAGCAATTATTCGTAAGCCATAAATATTTTTATCCTGTGAGGTATTCAAACCCACAGCGCCGCAGCCAAAACTGTACTAATACACTTATAATAATATCGAAATTCGGTCACTGTGGCCAGTCTCGCAGATGAGTGATCTGAACAGGACAGTATTTTAGTACAAGAATGTAAGCACAACCACAGGTGCACTCTCTATTTCATTACTTTCTTATCCCGGAGAGATATCAGGCGCAGGACTAACAGATTTACGTGCTTTCTGAAACACGGGAGAGGAACACCGCCACCTTCCTGACCCCGGGCTTTTTTTTATAGGATCTGGTGACAAACGAGCACACAGTCCACCCGATGGTAAGTGGTTACTGTGACCCATAGACATCTACATCTATCTTCAATAAAGACTCAAGATGCAGATGCGTTGTCATCCGTGAGGACTAAGATGGAATGCCTCTTTGCCAGTAAAAAGGGTCTCCGGTTCTCTACACTCACCATACGAAACACAGCAGCGTTAAGCTGCTATTTTACGCTGGTTTTCTGTGAGAGCGTGGTCCTTCCCCGGTCGAGCCGACCCATTCGTGCTACAACCATAATATAGCAGCAGCATGGCTCTACCACGTAAAAAAGCTGGGCTGCTAATGAGAATTTCTTGACAGAAAATCTCAATGACATATTTTTTGCCAGATCCGGGATTCGAATCCAGGAACCCATGATCAGCGACCGCGTTTAACTCACCTTTCGGAAAGCACATAAGCGAATTCTGTGGCCTATAGACATCTACATTTATCATCAAATAAGAATAAAAATGCAGGTACGTTGTTACCCCTGAGAACTGAGATGGAATGCACGAGGCATTCCGTCTCAGTTCTCCATCCAGTAATCTCTCCGGTTCTCTACACTCACCATACGAAACATAGCTGATGAAGATGATTTTGTACGCTGGTATTCTGTGAGAGTGTGTTCCTTCCCCGGTCGAGCCGACCCATTCGTGATAAAACTATAATATACATAGCTGCAGCGTGACTCTACCACGTAAAAATTATTGGGCATAGAATGTACAAAAAAATATTTACTGCATTAATAAAACAGAATTGTAATACTCATATTATTAATGCTAGCAAGACCAAGCTAATGTATATTAGTTCTAGTCATAATAGAAGTAAAGTCATACCTAGCATTATTGTGCATGATCACCTATGCCTTCACAAAGGACAAATGACATTCAATTGTCATTGTGCAGAATTAGAACCGGTAGAAACTCAAACTTACTTAGGACTTGTAATAGATAGTCGCCTAAACTGGAAACATCATTTTGAGGTTGTATGTAATGAACTCTGAAGCATGTTAGCAAAATTCTCCATAATAAAGTATAAAGTCCCCTATAGAATTCTGTTACAATTATATAAATCACTGGCCGAATCTAAAATTTCATATGGCTTGTTTAGTTATGGGCGAACTTACTTATTTAGATAACATTTATTCATTGCAATTACGCATCTTAAAAACTATAGTTCCAGACAAGGTTAAAAACTCACACAGCGATTCTGATTACCATAACCTATTCGATTACTGCATAATTATACCGGTGCATAAAAAAGTAGAATATACTCTATTAAATGAAGAATTTTTTAACGAAGATTTTAAAAAATATGTCATCTCTAATTATTCTAAAATTCGCAGTTCAGCCAAACCAAAATTAGCTAAACCTAATTATAACAATTTATACGGAAAACGTACTTTAGAATACATGGTTCCAAATTTGATTAATCAGTTACCAACCTCTTTTCAAAAAAATTAATCATAAAAATATGAAATACAAATTAAAAAACTATTATACGAACTGTCTATATCAGACTTCAAACTAAAAAAAAAACTATAATGCCCACTAACTATATTCCCTAAATAAACCTATATGACATATAAATAAAGAATAATTATTATACTCGTCTACTATTAAATATTATCTCCTTTATTATCAATATATTTTTATCACCGCCTGTATACGCCACGCAGGAACGACCGGTTTTTGACGCAGCGAAGTGGGCGGTGGCAAGACTCACGTCTTTTAATACACTATTAGTTAATTATGTATTGCCGATTTACCGCCTGTTGACTGCGCCAATTGCTGTTTATTAATGTTCCGTTATACATATTTTGTAGATTAAGGTGTAGCTTATCTGTCAAATCTTAAGTCGGCGGCTTGTTGTACACGGTAAAGTTTTCAGTAAGCTTATGTTGTACCATAATATATTCTCTGTATTATCTGTAATTTGTTAAATAAATAAATAAATAAAATAAATATAAATTAATTCTGCGTAAATTGGACGTTGAAAACCCCTTGAAATTCTTCAAATAATATTAAAATTAAAAATACTCATGAAATCGTTTTTCACTTTATAACAGTAATCAATATCACGATATACTAACTTTTTCTTCAATGGGCCATAAAACCCACTGCCAAACATGGGCCTCTCCTGCTTTTTTAATAGAATAAGGTTGACAAACGAACACAGATGGTAAGTGGATGCTGTGGCCCATAGACATCGACATATTTACCCTCGATAAAAAATCTAAATTTGTTGTGTTGTCAGCCCTGAGGACAAAGATGGAATGCTTCATTTCCAGTAATAAGGATCATCGATCTTTTACATTCACCCAACGAAACACAACAGCATTAAGCTGCTATTTTACGCTGGTAAGTTGTGAGAGCATGGTCCTTCGCCGGGCGAGCCGAAACATTCGTCATCATCATCATCATCTTTACAGCCCTTCACAAGTCCACTGCTGAACATAGGCCTCCCCCAAGGAATGCCACAAAGCACGGTCCTGAGCCACCTGCATCCATCGACTTCCTGCATATCTTACCAGGTCGTCACTCCATCTTGTGGGGGGACGCCCAACACTTCGCCTGCCGGTACGAGGCTACCACTCGAGAACCTTTCTTCCCCATCGGTTGTCGGTTCTTCGAGCTATATGGCCGGCCCATTGCCACTTCAGCTTACTAATCCGTTGGGCTATGTCGGTCACTCTGATTCTACTGCGGATATCCTCATTTCTGAGTTTATCACGCAGAGAAACTCCGAGCATAGCCCTCTCCATAGCTCGCTGAGCGACCTTGAGCTTCCACATCCGGCCAGCAGTGATGGACCACGTCTCAGTTCCGTATGTCATCACTGGCAACACGCACTGGTTGTACAGTCTCGTTTT